ATTTTAAACTACACACCACAATACAGTGCATTTTTATTCTATAACTGCATTTCAAAACACATGATTGGTCTAGTAAAAAGATAGTGACAATTGTCTCACTGTTACTTAAAAAAAGAAATACTAACCTATCAGGAAAATAAAAATAAGGAAGACAATATGTTCAACAAAGAACAAACTGGACTGGGGAAAAAAAAAAAGAAAGGCCTTTCAGGCAATGATCAAAACAGAGTTCTTCTACCAATTATTACTTCTTGAAAACACACCAAAAAATGTTCAAGAGCTCTAGGCAGAACATGTAAAATTTTAAATGCAACTTGATTGCTCCAGTTATCAAGAAATAATTTTAATCAATTGTTCTACTGAAGATTTGCCAAAGAAATCCAAAATCCCTATTCAGAAGTGTAAGAGTGAGAGCAAACCAGCTATTGTGATTTTATGTATCAGTTACTTAAAACTGCTGGTATATTCCTTTCTCTCTCTCTTTCTGTCTCAATTCTCATTTATATCTGTTCTCTCATGCATAAATGATCTCGCATGCACTATCACGAGTAACAACAACAAAAAATATGTTTAATGGTGGGAAAAACCTTTAAAATCACTGTCAAACTGAATGTTGCATTTTCTCTCTAACTCCTTGAGTGGTCCACTTAAGAATCTGTTTTAGCTACTCTTCCTGATAAGCTTATCCATAAGAATCATACATTTCCCCATAGGTAGAAAACAAATACAATTTGTCACATGTTGTGCTATACAGACATTTTTGCACAGTTGCTGCACTGCACTAGAATGTCTGAAGGGGAAGGCACCTCAGGTAGTTGGCTGCAGACACATCTCAGCAACATGGCACGTAGTTACAATCTGACACATATAGTCTTTATAAATCCAATGTCTATGAAGTCAAACAAATCTCCTTATTTATAGTAACAGGCAAGAGCAGATCTCTGCCGTCTTGTTACACAGATGGTTGTAACATTTTTATAGTTAACTTACAACCACTGATGCCTGAGGAATAGACACACATCTGCCCCAAACTGCCAGTCCTGTAGGCTCTTCTTTTTAACTTTAGCTACCAAAATACAGTCAAAAATGTGTAACACCACCACCCCCAAAAAGCTACCACAACAAAAAGCCCCATACAAATTTCCTAAAATATATTATTGTTATTGTTATACAAATTGGACAGTGATCAGACACATTACAGAAAAAATAACAGTAATATGAACTCTAATCAACAAAACTGAAGTTTTAGAAAAAAAAAATCATAGTCCCAGATCCCATGTGTCGAATTCAGTTTGGAAAAATGTTTGGAAAAAAATCATTAGAAGCTTCTAAATGATTTTTTTTCCCCTGCTTGATAAAAAGTAAAGGTATAGCTTGCTCATCTTGAAAAAAAAGCAAAGCAGCTGCCTAGGATTTTCTTCTTGAAGACACTAGTCCATATTTGCTCTCTCTCCACACATCATCTGGATCTTTAAGAGGAAACGTACACAGAAGAGAGATAACTATTTCAAATGTTTCCCACTTTAGACACTGGCTGTCCAGAGCAGAAATTCTCTAATTAGATGACTTAAAATCAGATGTTTGTCTTAGAAGAACAGATGCAGACAAGCAAAGCCGTAATTGAACTCTGTACCTACTAAGTTCAGTGAAGGCTTACATAGCCTGATAAAATCCTGACCCATGGCAGCTTGGCTAAATATTACTCATTCATAAATATGTTCCATCAATACTAGATCTAGGCAGATTCTTGTCTTTTTCTTCTTGCTTGCTAAACTGGAAGAGCTTGTGCCAAAGTGCGTCTGCACTTTATTTCTCCAAGACTCAGATCTATAAAGTCACACACACCGACCAGCTCACTTCCAGTGGTACATCACTGACACTATGGCATGTTAATACATACTTCTGAGATTATGCACTTAGCTAAACAAAAGCACTGTCTAAAATGACAAGTACATAAGCTGCAAAAAATATCAAAAGAGTAACAAACAAATGTAAAAAAACCACATGTATCTAAAGCAGAGATCCTTCATTAAATAAATATCTCTTCATAAGCTCCACTGCAGTCTTAACCCATCACCCTAGTCCTGCAAACCACAAGTCTTTCAATTCAAGTCTGCCCCAACAGCATGCTTTACCGTGTCACTTAAGATGGACATCTACTTCTTTTAATGCACATTTCACTGAGCAAAACACACTGAAAGGGATGGATAGTTGCATTGCATTGAAAAGGCTGATGCAAAATTGTCTTTAATGATTGCAGTTTAAAGTTTTCTCTTTAAAACCTGCTTATATAATTCTGGACTGTATTCATTTGCAGCACATATTCAGATAGAAAGAATGGCAGAGGAAGAGTTATTTTGCTCACTTTCAGGAATGCAACTATAACAATTGCCAAAACATTGTTGCTCCAAAAGAAATTCCAGCTGATTGATTAGATCTTGGTTCTTCCACAAAACAGGTGTATCAGGGCCTGTCATATTCTCCTTGAAGAACACAAGTAGCGACAGAGGTTTCTTCTTAAAAAAATACCACAGTTCCTTATTATTCAAATGCAAACATTAGGTCCCAAGTTAAGTCAAAATCATTCTGATACAAGAAATGTTCTAAAGAGAGCCCGAATAACAACAGCTAGATAACTAGGTAGGAACCCACTTTGCAGGATTGTGCTGCAGTGTTATTTATAGTTGTGTACCAAGGGGAAACATACTGTGTTAAGAAGTAATCATCTTTAACATTATTTTGATGTGATTATTAGCATCTGAATGTTGGATGAAAATGTGAGGCAAAACACATTAGTAGTAGTAGTAGTAGTAGTAGTAGAAGTAGTAGCAGTTTGGCCTTTACTAAACAGTACAGTCAGATCTGTGTTTGCAAACTCAGAAGAGAAAAATTACTATTTTTATTTGCTGGAAGTCCTTCAACATAAATATAAGGAACTGGGGGAATCATTTGTTGTAGAAATTTTATTTCCTACTTTTCTTCATCCAGATCTGAATACTGCATAGCCAATTTATTGCATTTGGGAACTGATAATGAAAATCTATTACACTTTTCACGTGGACACTAAAATGAAATTACACTAAATTTTTAACAGTTTATTATATCAGCCTTGTCACTTATTACCTGGATTTTAAATGTGTATTGTGCAAGATCATAATCAAAAATATGCTAAAATAGTTCACTTTTAAAATGCTTGCAACCATTCATGATTCAAATATCTTACAATCTGTGCCATATTTACATAGTCTAAAATAATAAATAAGACAAATGCTATCACTGTCCTGTTTTCTCTCCTTGTTGTCAGCCAAACAGCAGCAGAAGGTAAGGCACTGCCTGCAGCATGACCACTCTGCTTTGAAACCACTTCTCTGTTCTGGATTAATGCTTTCAATCTTTTCTAGTGTATAATCAGTGCTGCTGCAGCAGAGAATGAGCAATGCTTTCCAGTAGATCTCTTTTATTTAATTCTGACAGAGGAAATGTCCTAAAAACTTACAAAACTATCTTGAATTCAGCTAGATACTAATGACAGTGTCAATAGTATAAATATCATAGATACAAAAAAACAGGTAGGAGGAAAGAAAAAGAGAAATATTTTTGTTTCCCCTGAAAGTAACCCTGAGTCCTCAGTGCACATTCCCCATATGTTAAGAATCCACCACAAGTAAAGAAACCAAAAGGGAGGTGAGATAAATGGAAAGATTATGTGGTCACAGAGATTAGGGACACGGTTGTAGCATTTTGAATTTCTTTGTTCTCTGAGCCATAAAAGATGATCATAGTCCTTGGTTACAGGAAAACAACAGGATGAGGTACAGACAGAAAACTGAAAAGGAATAGGAAAGAAGGGAGTCTGGGCAACTGAAAACAATGCATGGAGAGTTTGCAAGAAACAAGCCAATATGGGCAGAGAATAAAGACATGGTAGAAAAAGTATAAATTAAAAAAATCAATAGTTGAAATGAAACAAGCATAAAAGATAGTCTGCTTCAATGCATGCAAGTTCTGTTTCTATCATGTGGTCAGTGGTCAAAAAAAAGCAAATAATTTCTCCTAGTCAGGTCTAGCTAGTACAAATGAAGTTAAATTACATTTTGCCTTTCAGCAGACAAGAGGTAACCTGTCAGATTTGGTCTGCAGAGTTGCCTCTCAGCCACCTCCCTAGCTCAATTCTCTACCCCTTCAACCATGCCTAAGCTCTTTCCTGTGCCTGTTACACTGAATGTGGAGGGGAAAACATAACAAGAGAGCATAGATGAACTTCCTGGTACCAGAAAGAAAAGTCTCCACAGTGATCTTTAAAATAATACAATCCAAATCACAGCACAGGGTGTTATCAGTCTGGATGCTCTGGCCAGAACAGTCAATTGGTATAGGTGGAAATACTCTATACTGGTCTTGCCATAGCTGCTCCCAGCTCTTCCTGAGGAAGTTACTGCTTCTCTGAAAAGACTAGTGGTGCCTGGAATCTGTTACTTGTACTCTGGCTACTAAGATCTTCAATAGGATTTGTCTGCTTATAAAAGTTAAATACTACTGAGAAAGGTAAGATAGTAAATAAAAAAACTACACCTATTACATGGCATAACAGAATCCACATCTGTACTCTTTATTCACAGTAGTGAATAACATCATCTCCTTCATCCCCCCCCCCATTTTCTTTTTCCTTATAATATGGTAAGACAATTCATCCAAGTTAGAGCAGAGAACAGCCGAAGCAGCCCACACACATATGTACTAGGCTTAAATACTTTGCAAGACTATGTTGTTCAAGATTTCCTTTTATTTATCCAAAATGGCACAAGCAAAAGATGTTATAAAAAAAAAAAAAACACACCAAACAAAACAGGTGACAGAATGCTTGGGCAAAGGGAAGGTTTGGTCATTTTCATAAGGAAAGAATATTACTTCCAAGCAACCTAGTGTCATTTCTATGTTTACACTACACTACAGGTACAGTAGAGCATAGCACATACTGATAGATTAACAGGACCTCCTACCTTGACTTCATCCTCTCATGCATTCTCCCATGCTGGATACACTGTTGGTCCAATTCATCATTCCGCTTCTGCATCTTCTCCAATCTGCCATGAAGATACTCATTTTCCTGACTAAGCTGGTTGACTTGAGATCTACAGAAGTAAAACACAGTGATGATGGATGTTGTCAGATTTCATCCTGCAGTGTGCCATCAATATGTGGCTTCAGCATTTATAAAATTTCATACATGTATATGTAATGCATAAACCAGGCTATTACCAGAACTTACAGAAACTAAACACTGTTTCAAATAATCTTGAGACAAAAGAACATGATGCTGAAGGGTATCTGGTAAATATGCCCATGGTAATCACTTAGTCATAGGTTGGCTATGCTAATTTCAGCCTAATTTAGACAGGCATGTCATTTGGCATTATGCACTGATGTTAAATAAGATTAATAAATGTAAATTCATACTTGTCAAGCAAAAATTCGGCCATCATTTTAAAAATACATATCGAATTCTTTATTAGTAAAAGCTAACATATAGTTTAAAAAATGGCTACTAAAAACTTGTTCCACCTTTACTGCATTGTATGGGTTGAACTCCCAACAGTGCTACTGTTTTAGAAACTTTATTAATCTAATATGCCCAAAATACCATTGCACAGATTAAAAAACACCAAAAAACACAGTAAGAGGAAAGTTAATAAAAACTTAAGAAACAAGGGACAAATCACACAGGCACACCCTAATCTACATAAAACTCAGCACAGCCTTTAAGAAAATTAGTCACTTCTTAGCAATTCCTATTCCTCACGGGCGAGCAGAGACACCAGATCCATGAATGACCTGGGTCTGCTACTTGCTACATCTCTAACAATCAGCCCATGGTGAAACAGGCATGAGCTGCTTCTTATCAGAAAAATAGTTCAGATTAAATAGTGATAAAATATACATTATGCACTTGTACAGTTTAACTCTTTGGAAAAGGTTAATGAGAACATGTCAGAATCTGCTAAACCAACAGAAAGTAGGAATCAAAAGAACGCCAATTTGTTTTATGGCATCTGCCACTCCAGATCTTGAGGTTAAAAGGCTTCAGATATATCTTTAAATCATAAAATTAAATATGCTGCAGTTACAGCAGAAAGATACTTCACCTTCCTGCTTGTTACAGAATGCAACAACAACTGACATTCCGAAAAATACAACAAAAGTGCAAGGGGAAAGGAATACTCACCCCTCAAAAACATGTTGTTACACTCAAGTCAAATCTGGAAATTAGCAAAGGAAACTTTGGAAGAAGGCTGTATGTAATTGAATTTAGATGGGAAGTTACAGCTCTATTAAGGAACATTAGTGACAAATACATCAGAATTGTGCTGATGTATGTGTACATCAAACTTAAATGCACAAGAGTTTTCTGGACAGGTATGTAACAGTGGGCAGGATGTAACAGGAAGGTAACAAGTCCAATTTTTACACTGATCAGTTGAAAGAAATACTAGTAACTTAAATGTCAGCATTAACAAAGCATTGTCAGTTGGACCAATTGTTATCACACAGTATGAGTGCACTCTGTACTTGACATTCATGCTATAAGAAACACAACCAGTGGATAAAAGCAAAGGTCTGCTGCAGAGCAGCTCAACAGAAACCTGACAAAGCCTGACAAAATAGGAACTGGGACACAACTCAAGTCTGCATTATTTTTTTTTTTTTTCCCCCAGCAAAATACAACAACAGCATTTGCCATGTGGGAATATCGTAAATTATCACGTTTGTAGGGTTTCTGAGCTGGGAGATCTTGCTTCCTTTTTTTGTATTTCTGTGTGGCTGTCTCATTCAAGAAAACAGCAGAAGCAGCTTTGAAGGTGATAAAAATCTGAATGTTTTACAGGGTCTGTATTAATCTCTAGCACATTTGAAGATACCTGAAAGCTTTCTGGAAAAATTAAGGGATTCAAACCAACCAAAAAGCTACTGAAAATTACAATTAATATAGCAAAAGAAAGTACTGAATTAATTGAAAACATGAGTAGCATGATCTGTCATCTCTAAACAGGTCTAAATGCTTTGAACCATGCTACTTGCATTCTCTTCTCCTAAAACATTTTTTTTATAATTATAGTTGAACTCAGCAAAAAAGAAATTAATTCCAGTAAAACATTATTTACACAATGTTCCTTCCAAGTAAATACCTAAGAGTCTGACCACCCAGATTCAAGTGTTTCTTTACACTGAAATTTTAGAGAATGCCACATAGAGAAGGGCAGAATGCCTATTAAGGTAAATGTTAAAAGGTTCATATGTGTTGGCATTAAAGAGAGAACACGGGTCCCAGTACAAGACTGTACACCAAGAATCCTCATTAACACCTGACAAAGATTCCCTCTGCATCTTTAAATATACCGCACAGTCGCCTCAGTTCCCAAAGATTAAGACAGCACAGTTAATTCTATATGATATTTAAATAACTTGTTGGGTTCCTCCCCCTCCCCTCCCAATAACTGTAATAAGCCTGAGCAACTGTACTGAGCACGACAGCACACTTATGTGAGAGGCAGCATTTCCACCCAGCCAGGGGCAGGACCACATCTGCTTAAACACTTCTGAATCACTCTGCTCCCAACCTGCCACAGCAGGGATGGGAGAGAGAAGGGTGTTGGTGCCAGAGTACACGGTCCTGAACTTCAGAGACAGCCCACATGTAATGCCAGGGATAGAGGTAAAGGAGAAAAATCCGTGCACTAAGCACTGCCTCTGATGGAGCCAGAACAGTTAAAGGACACAGCACGGACATGCTGATGTTGCTCCACAAGAGCTGCTCTGGGTCCAACAGACCGAGGTAGACTTGGAAAAAAATGAAGCATGCGGACATTTGGAGTGCTGCCATCTGAGCTGAACTCTGCATGGAGTTGCACTTCTGCAGACTCAGGCTGGCCCCACAAGTCTTATAGCTATGTTCACATGTCTGTGTGTGCTTCTGAGATCTCATAAGATTTAAAGGCTTGTAGGAAATCAGTATTACTTCAAAACTGCACAGAGAAAAGCTACAACACAGAGAAATGAAAATGTAAAATGCATGCTTGTAAGTAGACAGGTAATTTTGCCAAACCTCTTCTAATTGTCACTATAGCATAAATAATTGATGATGACTAGGGGCAACACACGGAGAACAAGAAAAAAAACCGTCTGTACTTCTGGATCCATTGAAAGCCTTAACTTCTACTTAAAACGAATCTAAATTTTTATCTACCACACTTGCTGGAAGAGTCTTGGGGGAAAAAAAAAAAACAAACCAGTTTGCTCCAAAACATTCAAATACTGTAGGCAAAGAACAAGCAAATGTTAAATAGTTACAATTCCAAGCCAGAGTAGGATACTTTAGGATGAGCTGATTTTTGAACACCAAGGTGGCAATGCTGCCTTCACTCCTCTGAAGTACCTTTAGCATTGCAGTGCTTTTTAAGCACTGGCTTTTCCTACTCTCAAAACCAATTGTTTACTTGTACAGCAATTAAATACGTGCTTTAAAATATTTTCTGCTGACACAGTATTGCTGCATATAATTTTAATGGCTGATCCTTGAGGCAGACTGTTTCACATCTTCCTAAGGCTACCTTCAACAAACATTTAACTTCTGATATTGAGCACAACAACTGCAGTCCACCAAACATGCAGAAAAATAGTTCAGCCGAGTGTGTGTTCTTTACTTCAATTAAACTCACGCAGTTGGATGCCTACTGTTGCCAAAACAGTAATATAATTTATACATTATAGTCCAAACAGTAAAACTACACTCAAAGTCATTTAACAATATTTATAACACCATAAAATACAGTGTTAAAATATATGAACTGCAATATGTACCAAAATTATAAAATTTGTTTCTCATCATCAGTGATTAAAACCAGGATCATTGCTCTAGCTTCAATACTCACAACCCTGGTGACAGATTAGAATTCAAATCTTAATGATCAATTTACAATTAACAAGATAGAAGTGAAACAAATTAAACCAACCATTATATATAACGAGACCCAATGGACTCCCATTGTTCCCCTTAATTACAAAACGCAAATCACAAATACACAGTGGGTAGTGTTAAACATTAATCCACAACCCAGAAACTCAGACAGCGACAATCAGAGAAAAAAAAAAAAAAAAAACCAAACACAACAAAACAGAGAAGAAATTAACAAAGGACTATATTTTTAAACATGCCTATGCATACAAAAACCTTCACAGACACTATCTTCCTTCTGCACAGCTTGAGGGGTTTATAATTTGCCTGACATTGTCTTTGTGAAGCTTTTCTAATCCCGCATAGAGGCTAGCTCACAAAAATGGTTCCATTTTACATAGAAACAAGAAAACTTCAGCTTAGATTTCTCAGAAAACCTGTATTAAATATAAAAATACATGTGCAATTCAGAGGCATCCTGCTGTTTTTTGCTGAAATTGTACAAATATGTGGTTGTCACAAAAAAATTTGAAATGCCCCTTACTACAAACAGGCCCTTTACTTCCTATCACCCCCTTCCCCAATTTTATTTAAACTTATTCCCGCATCTGTTATTAAAAAGCTTGAGTGTCTTAGCAATTAAATAATGTTACTGCTAGTACACAGTTATTTCTTAACTCCATGGAAACAAAGGCAAAAGAATTCTAGAAGTACATGCAGGTCCAAAATTCAGTTTATAAGGCCAAAAACATGGAAAAAAATATTTTCCATGCAAACAGGACATGGCTGCTACATGATCTGCTTTTATTAATGTACATGAGAACTAAGTTATAAAATCTTCTAAAAATGTTTACTTTTTTGCAGAAGACAAAGTTCCAGCATTCTGTTCCAGAACTGCGCTTTTACATTGTATCCAGTGACAATGAGCATGAAGATTGCCTGTTGGAGAGATGCTAGTGAAAGATACATACTGATCATGCATTTAAAACTTCACTGAAGTAATTTTCTACATCTGTCTCCTGATCACATCACTTTTTGGAGCCATCTATTAGTTTACCATTTTCCACCACCTACAATTCCACCTTTCTGTTCTCATTTTCACATGCTGTCTTTGTCCCTATTTCTCTGTTCTTGGTTACTGACTGCAGCAGCTCCCACACCAGTGAAGGCAAGCTCAAGCTATTTTAGGGCCACTTCTCAGAACTGCTTTCATACATCCTTCCATACTGATTCTTGTGCAAAATATACCACTTTCTGGAGATCCAAGAGGGCTCTTTTTCTCTTTTTCAGGTTCTTGACACAGTCAGCTAATGCTGCTAGGTGGAGAAACACTTGGCAACCTCCAATATTTATTTTCCAAGAATAATGTGTTTTCACAGTATGTTTTCTGTCTTTCCTTCATCCTTTTACAGTTACTAGTCTGTGACTGTGAGCTCTAGCAACAAAGTCTGTGTGCATTTTTATTGCTGGAATAATAATATGATTTGAATCTATTTAGATTTTGTATTACTTTAGCATAGGAGCTCTGCTTTTTCAGAAGAAAAAATTCTGTTTACTTCTCTCTCAAGTACCCATCACAACATTTTGCAAGGGAAGATAGCTCCTGTTCCCTCAACTTTTTCATTTCTTCCCCAAACACCCTAGATGGGATTCATCTCCCAACTTCAGCTGCTTAACAGCTAGTCAACACTTTATATTCAGTGGAAAGTAGGATGGGCAGTGGAGGCAGTACCTGTGGGAAGCATCATATATTTTTTATATATAGGTCTGTCATCTATTTATATCACTCCCCTTTGACCATTCCTGGAAACATTTACTGGGATATATTATCTCTCTCCTTAAGTGAGTGCTGTCCTTGCAATGTTACCTCAACAGGATGATTAAATCCACCCAGCAGAAGAATTCTATCTTGAAAACCCATTTTACTTATGCTGAATGTTTTCCTTACTTCACATAAGGGTAGGATTCATCTCATATGGTTTAATTACCAAAATCACTTTGCATGAAATCTACAGAAGTTGCAGAATGCCAAGTCAACACTTAAGTCCTGTTTACTCATCTATGAACCCTGCAGAAAGTTTCAACAGACACTATTTCCACACTTTAAAATGTAAAACCAAATGATTTACTAGTATAGAACTAAACATTAATAATTTTCTTTAAAAAAGAAGATAGTCCTGTCCTATAGAACTTAAAAATAGATATCTTTATACTTTTGTATTTATTTAAATGAGTTATTGCTTCAGGGTTTTATTCTACTCCTGAATTTTTAATGGCCTTTTTATTTAGACCTGCTATATTGATTTTACAAAAATCACTACATAACAATTGGTGGCAGAATCATAGCTTCAGTGACAAGCATTTTTGGCAACAATTATTTCAGAGATAATTATTCAATGTGTAGTATTGTGAATGGAGCTTAAAATAAATCATTAAGTGAATGGACTACAGTTTTGAGAACCTTAAATATTTAGTACCTTTCGTATCTTTTCAGATAAACTCGAATTGTAGCTCTGTTAACAATTTTCCACTCTTCATATTAAAAAAAAATGAACATCAGGAAGAAAATAGTACATAATTTTTACGTTGCAATTGCGTAGGAAATTTGAAGTCATAAACCATAAACATAATCTGAAAAGCAGAAAATCAGAATTACCCTGGATAAATATCCATCCATGTTTCTTAAGCAGCATATATTACATTGAAATGATGTGTAAATATGTGGTACAAGACGAACAATAACAAATACTAAAATAAAAATTAAAAAATAAGGAAGCATATCATAAAAATAAAAAAAACAGGGAAAGAAAAAATATACTAACCTGTATTTTTCTAACATTTGTTCCAACTTCCTTGCCAACATACAACATTCTTCCTTTAATTTTGCTATGAATGTATTCTGAGAGGTCAGCAGTGAATCCAGTTCATTTACTAGGAATTAGAAAATTATAAAACTATAAATTTATTTTACACTTATATAAATTTATAGATAAATAGAAATTATTTTGTATATTCTTAATTTCTTTCTTCTAGATTCTTCTGGTTTCGGTATGTTTTTAGAACTTCAGCTACTTGGCCGTGTAATTATGCCACCATCACTCACTAAATAAAGGGTATATATCAGAATAAGTTAACCTGAAATGTTAAAGTGATGTTAACACTGAATCAGGTCTTGTATGAGAATAATCCCCGTACAGACTACATATCGAATCTGGTGGTTTTGCTTTTTACCTCTAAGTTCATTGACATTCCTGTGAGGAATAAAATAGGCAAGCCATGTCTTAGCAGCCTTTTGCTCGCTCATCTGGTGCAGAGGATACACTGGCAAACCAAACACTCACACTGTAGACTCTTTCCATCTTAAAAAAGCATTTTTTATTTATTGGGTCCTAAGCTTACTATGATTAATGCATTTTTTTTTTCTTTCTAATGATAAGATATAGACTTATTGTCCAGTAATAGCTGCAGTGAAACCATTTTAAAACTGATTTTTGGTTAGTACCAGTTTGGGCTGCACCAAAACTCATGACCTAGAAATCAAGCATTTTTATTCTTTCAAAAGAATGCTATTGCAAAATTATGTTTCTTGATTTCTTCTTTTAAAATCAGAGACAGAGAAACCACTACTACGCAAATTCCTTGTGTGTGGTGTCATAGTACACAAGAGTTTCTTTATGTACATAATAAATGACTATCATTTTCAGCTCCTCCTAATCCTGCTAGAGATCTATAAAACCAAATTCAGCTGTAATGTTGTTTCGTTTTTGTATACTGGGACAATTTATGCACTGGGAAGATAAATTAAATATCTCTTGTGTAAAACTATGCCTGGTCATATGCAGATGTGCTAGTTAGAGTAGGAAGAAATGATACTGAAAGCTTCTTTTCCTACTGTGTAGGCAGCAGCCATAACCTAGCTGTTTACATTCCCTGAACACACAGAAAGGTCATCTAGTACTGTGATAATGCTGCAAAAAAGGCAGAAAACCACACAGCAGATGTAAATGTGCCTGCTGCCTCAGGTATTATCTGATGCTGCTTAGGATTAATACAGACTACATCATTTTTCTAAAGATATTGCAGGACAGTGGGTAAAAATGGTATTTTATTAAGCATCTGAATATACCATGTTCCGTAAGAGCTGAAGCTCCTCCTCTTTTCCATGCTCAGGGTTTAGAGCTTTCCTCTCTAAAAATTTATTTTTTTGTTTCTAATATGCACCTTTACTACTGTTGCTGGCATAGTACTTGACAAAAACAAAAGGCTTTTTTTGCTTGTTTGGAAAACCCATTTTATTTCCAGATGAAAGGTTAGAAGTTACTGATCAGCTAAGTCAGTGTAATGAAATCTCCTAATATGAGAACCTGAAGTATACACGAGATTAAACATCTTTCTTCTAGATTGAGGGGGGGGATGGGGCACATGGTAATGCTAAAAATGTTTGAGGCTGCAAAGATTAAATAAAGGAACATATCAATTTGGAGCCAGTGAATTACATCCAGCTGCGACAGTGAATTAAGAACCGATTAATGGCTAAAGCTTTTCTCCAGTTTGGATGCCGAAGCAAACTCATTAAGCTTTTAGAGTAGCTATAATGTGTGTACTGTGGGAACTGTTCAATGCTATTCAGGAGACTTTAACTGTAAGCTCAGAGCATTTCCCGCAGAGCTTCTGATGCTATTTTCTTTATATAACATGTGTGCCTGAAAATCCAGCCAAAAACAAGCCCTTTGTTTTTCTACTTTGTTGTGGTCTCTCTCAGCTTTACGTTTCTTGAACACAGGTAAATAAACTCATAATCCAGATGGTGCAACAGATGTGAGAGCAGCACTCTGAAATCAACAGACAGTGGGCAATACTTTCCATTTTCTCTTTTAAACGCTAACTAATATGTAATTCGGAATCTCCGGTGTAGTTAGCATCTGCTCCCTTCGGCCAGCCAAAGGTTACAGGTGTTCCTGATGTCATTTCACAGTAAGGCGTGGGCCTGGCTTGTGAGTGAGTGCCCAGGCTCTAATCTTTCCCTACCACCTACCAGTTTTCTCATGCTGGGCCTCCATTTGCTGCATCTTCTGTGTCAGCTCCTGCTCTCTTTGCTGGGCCTGAAGGGCTCGGGCCTTCGCTTTGTCGCTAATGCTGTGCTGAATGCTCTCCTTCTCCAATCTATTAAAAAATAACCCAGAAAACAAATAGGAAACCAAGAAAAATAAAAATCATATGATGAAGATGATAACTTAAAAAGGCAAAGCAGAACACTTAATAACAACAACAACAATCTGCCCCAGCCTTCACATTAAACATCCCCCTCCCAGTTCAGGTTACATGAACTGACCTTTCTCTTACAATGTCAAATGTTCTCCAGTGGCTAGTAGAAAATGGATAAAAATATGATCTATTTCCTGAGCAAAAGTTAGCCTTTCAGACAAAAATACAATTTTATTTTTAAAAATCTTAATTAAACATGACTTGTTTTTCATAAGGAAGTTGCCCAGCAAGCACTTTGCACTGAACTGATTATTTGCATTTTCTTTTAAATGCTATTTATTTCATTCTGCAGTGAAGCTTAGGGACCTGACCCTGAGATGGACTGGTTCCCAGTGAACCAGCAGGAGATAAGTCAATGGGAGCGATTGCCACAGTGCTCATAATATAGCTACTCTGAAAGCTTAATGAGTTTTCTTAAGCAACCAAAGAAGTTTTAGCTATTAATTTATGTAAATAGGAGATGAATGCATCCATTACAATAGAGAAGACTGTTAGCACCACACAGGCCCAGATCCTTGTGGTTCTGCTCACTGGGGGGTTGTAAAGGAAGGTCTAAAGCCCAGTATTATTATTGAAGTACACAGGCAAGAGAGCAATTTACTTGACCAGATATGCAAGATGGGGCAATCTACTCCTGAGGCAAAACAAATGCTAGACTAGCACACTCCATTGAAGCATTTTATTTAAAGCAAGCCAAGCAAAAACAGCATGGAAAATAAAACCCCAAAAAGATACATGCATATAAATTAGAAAAAGGTCCTAAACTGCAAATTCATATCAAGACTTACCCAAAGGTTGTGAATACTTATCTGGTGCACGCTAGGATCCAGATTCAAAATTTCAGTGAGTTCACACATATAAGGATCGATTTCTAGGTTTCAAGTGGCTTATATGCACACACTTTTCTACTGAAACTACTTGGGATAAATTTCAATAAAGTTTTATAAATGTGTTGTTTTATTCTAGGGATAATACCTATTTCAGGGGACTACAAAACAGAACAGGAGCATAGATCACGTAAGGATAAAGCCACATCTCATGTGGTTGCTGCACTTAACCTTTGGATTGGTGCCTAATAACCCATCCGAGATATTGCAATATCTCAGCATGACACACACAATGTTAAATCTTCTCTCCTAAATCTACCCCAAAGCAATACAAATGGTGGGTCACATTACACTAATTCCTGGTCCTGATGTTGCAAACCCTACCTTAGGCAAAACTCCCTTTGAAATAACATTTTTTTTTTCTGAGGTAAGACTGAGAATGATTTGACACAGAGAATAAGTTTAGATAGCAAAAATATTATAGCACTATGGAAACAAAGCACATTAGTCAAGAAAATTTCATACATTGAACTGCGCTTTATCACACCATCCTCAGAATTACTTTGTAACCGTACTGTTGCTGCCTTAAGGAGTGATGCTTGCATTATTTCCTAAGTTTAAGCTCCAAATACGCAAGGCATTGCTATAAAAAATCCTTCTACATTTGCTAAGAATCAGTCTATTTAAACTCCTCCTTCCTTCCAAACTTTGGTCTTTTCACATTTAGGCAGTTGTCAGGAGCACCGGGCTGGACTTCTCACATACGTGCCAGCACCTAACACGTCCCCCAGACACTTACAGCTAAACAAAGTGGCAGTAGCACAGTATTTTATTTAATAGTATCTCATGTGAGATAGCTGTGTGCAGCTGGGTGCTGTGCTGTCCTCTGGCACACAGCTGGCCATCTAGCATTCTGCTGGGAGGTAGCCTTCAGCATGTATCAAGCTGCACAGCTCAAGCTACCAAGGCAAGCCTGTAAAGGTCCATACCTCATTACTAGGGTCCCTCCTGTTAAAAATATGCTAAAGAACAATTTAAAAATAAATGGAGAATCTACTGCCAACAGAAGCACTCTTGCTAAGGGGACCCACCCATAAAAGCCACTCACATGTGCTACTTAAAACTACAGAACAAACCAGCAGGACCTCAGAAACCATGGATGCATCATGAGTTCCCCATGGCTGAAGTGTATATGGGGTGGGTGAAAATAAATGAGTTTATACAGTGGATAAAAGCTCAACTATAAGACTAGGTAACACAGGTAAGTCTTACACTGAAGGGTAGTTGACTGCTGATCTTAGCACCTAGAAAATGCAGGGATTGAGACACAAACAGTGCACCACATAGAGAGCAATATCTGACGTGCCCAGAGCTGCTGGGGAATGAAAAAAATTCCTGGAGCCAAAGCCGTCTAAACTGAGTGGCAAGTCTTTTACCCACACCTTGAGTTGACACCTTCCCTGCTCTCCAAGTTCAATTTCTCTGCCCCTACAGAAAATTTCCCAAACACATTTTAGATATACAGAGAAAAAAGAAAAAATTTCAAACCCCCTCTGCTTCCCCTGAAACCATGTACAAAACATGCAAGAAGGTGGCTCAAGAGATTTCATGAACTATCAGCAATATTGCTGCTACAGCCAGCAAATACTGCAGGAGTTTTAGAAGGTTTGATACTGACTGCTTATTTGCAATTACTCTGAATTGTGAAGGAAGGGAGCTTGATTTAAGAAAAAGCTGTAGACAGAATGAAACAGCTATACCCTTCCAGCATTAGTGTGATGATATTGGAAGTTTCCTGTTACAAAAACTTCAGAATTTCTCATATTGACTGAAGGAAAGCACAGAGACAGTATAAAGCAAAGAAACAACAGCCCAATTTTGACAACACTGGTAAGATCTGAATCAGAAAGGACAGCTAAAAGTTAATTGTAGCAGAACTTTTTAAAGCATCATCTACTGGCATCAAAACAGGGGAAAGGTTTAAAAGTGTTTAGTGTAAAACAGAAAATAAATGTCTATCTGAAAATAATTCTGGACTGGACCACCACATTGATCAGTTTTACTAAAGTGGAAGCATTGAACTCATGGTGACTATTTTTTCAGCAATGAAATCAAAAAGCAATCAAAGACTCATTCACACAGAGGAAATCTCAAGCTCTCCTCGAGTCCTGTCCTGAAGTGCAAGTTTCCCACAGTTATTTTAGTTCTAAACAGACTGTTTTAAGCCTGTTATACCTGTCAAGAGCAGCCTACTTAGTTAACTTACTCACATATCTCAATGAACTGGGTACGGCTTTGCAGTGACTGAAAGCTATGCCTTCTAAATATTCTTAAAAAAAAAAAAAGGGCACAGTGAACTATAGCTTATAGCACAGGAAGAACAAAATTGACATCACTTGCAAATCTTAAAAAGAAATCTTTGATGAAAATGAAAATTCACCTCAAAGCCAACATAAAAGTATGTTGACTAAGTTTTTGCCAATAAATTTAATTAAAAAAATCTATTTCACCCTACTAACAAACAAAAACTGGATCACAGATCCATTGTCAATAGACGACTGCTCTCTGTCAAATGGCTTTTCAGTAAAAATGAAGGATGTAAAGACTAGTGATGTGAAAGTCATAGCTGACATAAATCATAGCTCATTGATTTTTTTTTTACTGTAAGAGTAGAACTTAGATTGATAAAACTTTGAATTTCACAATGCAGTTCAATAGCTGGTGTGCCTGCAAGTCTTTTTGCTTTGGTAACAGTAAAAATACAAAATGAAAAAAACACAGGCTGAGTCTCAGTGCAGAATCATGGCTCTGACTGGAGATTGCCACTGTCTTCTGACAAAGTAACTACGATGTGAAGCAACCGTGCTTTCTATATTGGCTATTTGATTTTTCCATGAGATCAACGTGTGGCATTTTGCAAAAAGCTAATGGATCCATTAGTAAGGACTACGAACTTAACTGGATGCAGCATACAAGAGGCTATAATAGGCATTTTTTTGTTAATTTCTTATTCATAATAGTTAAAATATAAAATATTTTAGGCTTTCACATATATTTACTTTAAACTTCATAAATGATTAGGACTGTCTGGCATTTAGTGTTCCGAACATTTGAGATACCTGAACAAGACTGTTCTAACTAATGACCAGTCCTGGAACTCAGCACCAACACTCCTACTTCAGCAGCAAGAGGCCCAGCTGAGGCTAACACTGATGCTTCTGCTACGTGCCTCAGTGGCTGAGCACAGATCTCTCCTCTAGATAACACGTAGCCCAATGGGCCAGCACTGTGAAGTACTGCACAACAAATCACCACCCAAGAAGGAAAGTTCTCACCTGAGGGCTCCCTCAGCTTTTCCAGAGGAAATGTGCTTTCTCTCCCAGTATTTTTGAAAATAAATACGTAGCACAAGCTTCTCCATACGAAATTGAAAAACAGTTTTGAGAAAGTACCCAAGCACTTAATTCACAGTATCTTTGACAAAATCTGGCCTGAGGGCACTCAAATCAATTAGAGCACTTTCGAAAATAGGACTTGAAAGCCTACATGCATCAGGAACCCTAAAGATTTTAGCCAATAGCTCTGCCTACAAAGCCTCCGCAATGTTTTACGCAGTCTACTTTGGAAGCTTTCCATGATACAGGTCTAGTGGAATGTTGATTAAAGGCAGCTTTCTGAACTACCATCTTACAGGTTATTTCATATTGTTTCAGCTACAAGTGTCAAGGGAAGAATGGAAGCCCAAGAGTATATCCTTGCTCTTGTCTCAGGCTACGGGGAGGGGAACAAAACAAAAAAAGCATCAGACCACACAGCTAAATTCACAGTTTAAAAAAAAATGAACAAGAGGTCAGAATACCTACTGTATTCTGTAAGTAGAAACATAAGAAAAATGTTTGCAGTCTCCTAGTTTACTACCAGAAAGTATTCAAATACTGCAATGATAAAGGCCATAAAAGAATAAAGTCATATGCTGGGCCAGAACACTGTAAATTTCTTCCCTCTGTTCTACATATGTACCTTCACAGGTATTTAATACACAGAAGGATAAGGGCTTGTTTGTTTGTGGGT